GGACCCCACGGGCTGGGGCTGGCGGTGTTAGGCTGTTAGCAGCCGTGTGCCCCTGCCTGGGCGATGTGTCGCCTAATGAAGGGACACGTGTATCAGTCCTTCCCATGTCTTCTTCTTATTATTTTACACGGGCACTACGTGTGCCTTGTGCAAAAATCAAAACAAACAGCAGAACTATCTAGTGCATTCCCCTCCCACGCCTGTTCCTCAGCGACCTGTGCGCAAATAGCCATTGTTAACTTTCCTCCCATGCTAGTCAGATCACAGGCTGTGAAACTGGCTGAACGCTGAGATCCCGTTTGGAGGGGTTTTGCTTTCTGGTCCCACTCCTAGAGACTGATTTAGTCGAATGGGGTGTGACCTGGACATGGGAATTTTTACAGCTCTCCAATGATTCTAGTGTGCAGCGCTTTGAAGCCACCGTCTAGGTCATTGATTCTCACACTTGAGTGGGCATAATAATCATCTGGGGATCTTGTTAAAACCCAGATTCAAATGGTAGGTCTGGCCTGGGGACCTGAGGTTCTGCGTCTCTGATGAGTTCCCGTAGGGTACCTGATGCTGCGTCTGGATTGGGGCCACACCTTTGTAGCAAGGCTGCACTGACGCTCAGATCCTGGAGCAGGACAACTCTAGGAGCTTCTAATGGGTCTCCGCCCCTCCCCAGCCACATCCATTCTTCATACTGCATCCACTGATTGTTCTAACCAGTGATTTTCGACCTTTTTCATCTCACAGCACACATAAACTAATTACTAAAATTCCATGGAACACCAAAAAATATATTTTTTGCCCATCTGACAAAAATAATAGGTATAATTTTGATCCATTCACACCAGAGGGCTATTGTGTTTGTTGTCATTTTTAAAATTTGATAATCTAAGGGAAAAGATATCAGTGCCCCTGACTAAACTGTCAGGTATTGCATGTTTTAAATATTCTTTCAGCCTGGCTGGAGTGGTTGAGCCTTGCCCATGAACCAGGAGGTCAGATTGGATTCCGGCTCAGGTCACAAGCCCCGTTGCCACCTGGATCCCCAGTAGGGGGCGCGCAGGACGCAGCCACCTTCCTGGCTCTGAAATCAATAAAAAAAAAAATTTTTCAGTACCAGTATGCTGTGGCACACAGGTTGAAAATTGCTGACCTAAACAATCTAAAGCAGAACCTCGGATGAGCAAATTGCAAAAACTTTGGAACAAAGCAGTTTGCCATCTAGAAGAATTTTAAAAATAAATTTACATTAAAAGTTACAAAAATATTTCAAAGCATCTGTATAAACTTTGAAAATCATAAACACAGAACATTAAAGGAATTAATGTTTGTTTCAATTTTGAAATAGAGTCTAGCCATTTAAAAAGATCTTTATGAAGCCTTTAGTATCATGGGGGTTAATGTTAAGCAAAAGAAAAGACAAAAATCTGTAAAATATTCAGTTTCAACTGTGTAAGAAAAAATGTATGGGAAGATAAATATAAATTATCTAGGGAGAATTTTTTAAGTCAAAACTTTTGACTTATTTACAAATTTAACCAGTAATCCTAGCAAAGATGGGGAAAATATAGGCATTTTCTAGGCATGGAGAACAGAAATAACCAAAGTCCTGGAGACAGGGGACAGGAAATGTTCAAAGTTATGAATTAGAATAGGAGGAAATGAGCAATGAGCCCTGAGAAATGGACAGAGACCATATCACAAAGGGCCTCCATGTGATAGGGTTGGATAGGAACTTTTTTTATTCCTTATTATCAAGGTGATTGATAAGGGGAGAGGGTTTGGATAGAGCCTCGCCTCTTTCCCAAGGCTTCTCTCATCTGTCTTTCTTATAGCACCTCCATAAGCATCCATTCTTAAGAATTTTCTTTCCTGGTTCTCCTTCTACCTTATTGGCCACTCTTCACTCCCCTTTCTGGCTCCCTTTCCTCTATACTACCTCAATGCTGGGGTTCCTCAGGGCTTGGCCCTGAGACTTTTCTCTTATGCTCTCATTCTAAATGACAAACCCAGTTCCTGTGGATTTAAATATATCTTTATTTTAAAAAATTGATTTCAGAGAGAGGGAAACATCGATGTGAGAGTGAAATATTGATTGACTGCCTCCAGCACATGCCCCAAGCAGGGATTGAAGCCGAAACCTGGGTATGTCCTGACTTGGAATCAAACAGTTGGTGTAAAGGACAACACTTCAACCAACCGAACCACACTAGCCAGGGATAAATATCATCTTCATCATCTTTATGCTTTTTGTCTCCAGCCCTAATCTGTCCTGAATTCTAGACTTTAATATCCATAGTGCCTAGCTGACATATCTACTGAGGTGTTGCACAAACACCTCAAATTGTACATACTCATAAAAATACCCCTGAGTTTTGTCCCCAGACCTAGTCCTCCCCACAAACTTGCTCATGTCAATACACTGGCACCACCATCTACTGGTGTTTAACACATTGTATGCGGGAAACGTATTTATACGTTTTATGTTGACTGGTAGTAGAGCGCTCGATAAAAACTACCCACAAACAATGTGTTAAGAAGGAAATCTAGGTGTCATTTTTTTCACCCTCTCCTCATTCTCCAAATTAATTCCATTAGCAGGTCGTGTCAGTGGTACGTCCAAAATATACCTTGATTCAGGCCCTTTTCCCCATCGTTACTGGTATTACCTTAGTAGTATGGGCCATCATTTCTCAACTGGAGTCCTGTAAAAGCCTACCTGGTTTCACTTCCACTATGCTACCCTCCAACTCCGTTTCCACACAGCCACAAAAGTGACCTTAAAACATAAAGTGGGACGTTTCCTTCTCCTGCTTTAAATACTTTCCAATGGATCTAGAAAACAACCCAAACCTTTGGCTAGTCCATGTGGCCTTATGTGATTGGAATTCTGCCTCCCTAACTTTACTTCTTGCTACTCTCCCCTTTGTTCACTATCCTCTAGGAGTATTTTTCATTCAGAAATCATTTATTGTGCATCTGCTATGTGCCAGGCATTGTATGAGGTGCTGGGAATATAACTGGACATGAAAAGAAGAGACCTGGGAGGAAGAGATAGGTAAGCAAGGAAATAAATAACTTAAGGCAACGCTAAATTACTTCCATGTTCAGAGGACATGCTCCTCCTGCTCTTCACCTGATTACCTTCCTATCATTTGGTTCTTAGCTTAAAGGCCACTTCTTCAGAGGTTTCTCCTGGTCGCTCTATCTAAAGTAGGCACTTCTTTTCTTCCGTTCTTTCTTCTATGCTCCCTTAAATGCACTTATCAAAATCTGCAGTTATCTTGTCTGTTTTTTGGGTGGGTATTCATCAGTTTCAGTAAAAATTTACAGAATGAATGTATTAAAACTCTTTTGTAAGTCAAATGTTTCCTTCATTTTTCTAGTCTAGAATCCCATTAATTCCAGGGGATAGATTAGGCTTTGTCCCTTCAACAGGTATCATGTCTACTATCTAGAGCAGCAGCTCTCAAAGTAGGGCACAGGGACCTGAAACTCTTCAGTGGGTTCCTAAGTTCAAAATTATTTTAATAATAATACCAATATGTTATCTGCCTTCTTTACTCTCCTCTCATGAGTATACTGTAAAGTTTTCCAGAGGTTTTACAACTTGGATATTGCAAACAGACTGAAGCAGATACCAGAATAGAGCTATCTTTGTAAGCCACATATTACAGAGATTTGACAAAATATAAAACAATACCACTTTTTTGTTTTTAAAAAGTTATTTTTCATAAAACATTTTTCATAAATGTTTTATTTAAAAGTGAATAGTTATTTTAATATGGTAAAATAATATATTTATCACCAAAATAAACAACACTATTGGGTTTCTTAATTTTTAAGAGTGTAAAGGAGTCCTGAGACTAAACAGTTTGAGGATCTTGGTAAACCGTGGCTATAAATGGAGGGGGAATTTAAAAGCCACTGAGAGACACATGCTAGTGTCCTCAAGGGAAAAATAAGGTATGCCTCTACTCCACTTTTTTTTTTCTTCATAAAACCACTGAAGACATGAGGTCCATGAAGTATCTCATCTTCCATTTAAATAAATGTTCTTCTTCAAGAGGCAGAGAATAATACTAGAATGTCCACTGGAAATGTGAATTTAATTGAAATACACATAACATGCTTACAACAGTAAGCAATCTAGAAAAAAATTAAGTTTAAAAAACCATCTGAATGTTATTTCAAAATTCACTATTTACTTTGAGACCTTGGGTAAATTATGTAACTTCTCTGAACCTATTTCCACCTCTAGAACACAAAAATAGCATGCCATACATAATACTCTACCCATGCAGTTATGG